CTTGGAGAAGTCACTTACCTTCTCCAAGCCTCCATTAACCCACCCACAAAGGGGGATAATTATACCTTCGCTGCCTTACCTCTCAGGTTTTATGGGGGGAATCTGATGGGATGATGAACAGAAAATCCCTTCATAGGAAAAATATAAGGGACTTTGATTCTAGTCCAGGTGTGAGCCCGATGATAAGGGCCAGGGGGATGAAAAACTCTCTAATGAAAGAATTCCTCTGTCCTTCCCTACCTCTTTTCCCTCTATAGAAATGCTGGAATCCCTCCAAGAAGGGCTGGAAAAATCCAGAGATCCCAGAGAAAACAGGGGTCACAAAAGGAACGCTAGACATCTGGGTCTTTCTGGACATTTGGGAAGGCTGGACCCCCCAGAGACAGCTCCTCCATCTCTCAGAGAGGCAGGAAGCCACACGGGAATGATCTGTATCCACATGGAGGGCGAGGCTGGGGAGCAGCCTGGATTGCCAGAGCCAGCATTTCAGAGCCCTGCTATCAGAGGAGCAATGGGTAGGCAAGGGCGGTGGGGGGAGGGGGCATTCTCCTTGTTGAGTCTCCCACACTTTCATCCCTCCTGCAGGAGATGACGACGCAGCCACCTTCCTGTGACAACGGCACCTGTGTCATTTTCCTTCTCTGAACCTCAGCTTCCTCATCTATAAAATGGTGTGATAAAGCCTCTGATACACTGAGTCCAGCTGAACAAATATGGCTGCCATTCTTCCATCCTTTGAAACCAAGGAGGTTCCCAGGGCTAACAATGCCCTCATTCCCCAGTTTTGAGTTACTGGAAGAAAAATCTGAAGGCACTTCCAGGACAGAGCCCAGGCTCTGAGGGCAATGTCCATCTTCCGACAAGGTGGATGAGATTAGCTGTGTGTGGTGGGGGAAGTGGAGAAGAGAAGGGGCCCTCTCTGTGGGCTAGAGGTACATGCTTCAGCCTGCTGCCTGGGGAGGGGATGGGAAATACCACCATTGGCCAAGGCTGTTAGAAACCATCCTGCAAGGAAGGAAGGAAGGAAGGAAGGAGGGAAGGAAGGAGGGAAGGAAGGAGGGAGGGAGGGAGGGATGGCAGGCGGGAGGGGAGGGGAGGGGAGGGGAGGGGAGGGAAGGGAAGGGAAGGGAAGGAAGACCACCCTGCTTCCATGAGCTCTGTGCTGTTTGGAGGAGAGGCTGATGGGACAGTGGACCACAGGGGGGCACTTTCCCCACCCTTCACCAGCAGGAGGAGATGAATGAAGGACTGACACCTGTTGGTGCCCAGGTGCCCTTTGTCCACCGCCCACTGGGGCCTGCCCTCCTTGCGTCTGGGAGAAAAGCTGAAGGCACCGGGCACCTGTGTGTAGCAGGTAGAGATAATCAAATCTCTTTGCATCTCTGAAGAGAAGAGCATGGAAGGAGAGGCTGCGTCTGTGAAGCCTGAAAGACAGCTGACCACCCTCCTCCCCCCACTCTTTAGTTCTGGCCAAACTGAACGGCTCCTGCTTCTCCCTTCCATGCCTTTCCTCAGGCACCTCCCTCCTCCTAGAGAGCCTTCCTGTCCAAACCCAGCCCCTTCAAGGCCTAGGTAAAATGTCCCCTCTTCCAGGAAGCACATGTTCACTGCCATGCCTATGCCCCCCCTTCCCTGCACTCTCTCCTCTGAGCATCAGTTGTACTTTTCCCGTCCCTCTCTGACGGCAATTTGCACTGTTGACTATGTCACAGCCACACCTCCACACATTTATTTCCCCTCTGGGGGACACAGGTGACTGTAGTGGTTCCTAGCACAAGCTTTGGAGCGAGGCAGACCTGAACTCTAACACCAGGTTTTGCCATTTATTAGCCATCTGACCATGGGAAAGTCACTTACCTGTCTGAGCTTCAGTGTCCTCTGGAAAATGGGCACAATAATAGTACCTACCCCATAGGGTTGTTGTTGCAATTAAGTGAGCTAATGCACACTAAGGATTCAGCATAGAGCCTGGCACAAAGTGAGAGCTTGGTAATGGAATTTATTTGTTACGGTTCCCAGATGATTGTTCTTTATGTCAGCCACAGAGCCACCCGCTGGATGGATGGATTTATACGGAGGCAGATCTGCAGGCAACAGGCAGAGCAGTGGAACCTGGGAGGGGCTGCCTCTGCAGGTCATGAGCTCCATGCCATCGGATACAGGACAGCCACTGGAATGCCCAACCGAGGCAAACACATATGGGCACAGAGATGGGTTCTGAAGCCGGACTCCTGGCCTCCGCTCACTCAGTGTGTGACCTTCACTAACTGTGCCTCAGTTCCCCATCTATGCAATGGGGATAGTAACAGTACCCACCCAAAAGACATGGGTGAGTACTATTTAATGAGGATTAAATGAAATAATACACATAAAGCAATAGAACACATTCAGCACAGGGAGAGTAATTCAATAAACATGACCTATGATTATCATTGTTGGTGTTTGTATTACTATCACTGAAGAGAGAAGTGAGAGCCCCTTGCAGGCCTATGAACTGTTCACTGTCCTATGACCCACTAACACCCCAGTGTGCTGTCACGGTCTGTCTGCCCTTCTGGTTACAGCCCTGTTCCCCCATTAGCTACATGGGTAGGCATATGGCCCAGGCCTGGCCACTCAGACTGTCCCTATCCCCCAGCGACAATGACTGTCCCAATTAGAGTCCTTCCCTTGGATTGATACATAGATCCTAGAAGAAAAATAGTTCCTTTTTTCTGTCTGGGCGGCTAAGTTGGGGTAGTGGACAGAGAGTTCCTAATAAGAGGAGAGACAGCAGTGGTGGGAGAAAGATGGAGAGCCCACTCGACTCCTCATCCTTCAGCTCCATGGACCGCCCCCGGATCCGTTAAAGTCCTTTTTTGGTTTAAGCCTCTTTGAGCTGAGTTTTTGTCACTTTATTTGCCCAATTATACAGGCCCTAACCTAGGTAAGGTGTATACTGGCCATGGGCAGGGCAGGGCAGAAGGGATAGTCTACAAAGCATGTTCTCAAGAATCACCCTGACCCAGGGGTCTTCAGACATTGCTTCCTGGAGCCCTGGGAATCTGCGCCTCCCCAAACACCCGTGGAACAAAAGGCAGTAAACGGGGGTGGCGGGGGGGGCAGCAAGATTCTGGATAAACTGCTGCCAATTCGACCACAGCAGTTTTGCTACAAAAGCTACGTACTGGGATTCTGCTGCCCCAAGAGATTTGAAATACCCTATTCTAATCGATTCTCAGAAGAGCATTAATAAGTAGCCAGCTGATGTGTCCATCCACAACATATAGAAGAGAACACTGAGGCCCAGTTCCGGGCTTGCAGGCCACATGATTTCCAGTGCTTCAGGCTCCCTGTGAAAATCTATCACTTCTCGCATTTCCTGTCTCCTCCAGTAACCTGATGGAGGTTAATACCTAGAGTCTCATCTTTCTTGGCTCTAACCCCCAGAGAGCTGCCTGCTTCTGAGCCTGGCTCCTCGGCGGGCTTCCCGAAGCTTGAGGAACTTGTAGAATATATATATGAGCCAACCTCCACCTCCCTTTACCACGCCCACACCCCCCCCACACCCCAGGCGCACATACACTTCGTTCTCCCTCTCCCTGCCCAAATGCCAGGGAAAGACCAGCAGGCCCCCTCCTGGGAACTCCTAATCCACCTCCTCTCTCCTAGCTGTGCTGTGACTGTGGACAGAGGATTCCTTGTTCCCAGTGTTTCCTGCCCATAGATCTCCATGGGGCCCATGTGCTGGCAGGAAAGAGCCAAATCGTTCCTTTTAACTAGAGCTAAAGCCACCCCTTACCCCCCTCCACCCCCAGAGCAACATGCTCCCAGCTCTGCTTGGCATTTACTCTACCTGCCCGAGCTGGCTCAGTCCCACCTCGTCCCCATAGCCCTCGCTCCCTAGAGAGAGAGAAGACAGACACACACACACACACACACACACACACACACACACACACACACACAC